TTTTTCTTTTTCTTTTTTTTCTTTTTCTTTTTTTTCTTTTTCTTTTTTTTCTTTTTCTTTTTTTTCTTTTTCTTTTTTTTCTTTTTCTTTTTTTTCTTTTTCTTTTTTTTCTTTTTCTTTTTTTTCTTTTTCTTTTTCTTTCCTTTCTTTCTTTTTTCCAGGTTGTCAACCATGTTGAAACCATCCATTCAAGTAAGACCTGAGTAACAATGAGTCACATTACCCCCTAACAGGTCCCATGACAGAATCCTGAGCTACCAACCAGCTACTGGAGCAGCACCTGATTGTGGAAGTGAGCGCATTTCAGTCAGTAAAAGAAAAGGTAACTTCCACACATATAGACAGTAAGCTAGTCTTCTAATAGATTTTTTTCCCTGATGTTTTCTTAAGAGTTTGGCTGCTTTGATATTTTCTGAGTCACTGCAGATGGCAGTTGTCCCTGTAGCCAAGTGCCACCTGGTGGGAACGACAAGGGGTTTTGGAGCAGCAGAAAGGTTCCGGATTTGTGAATTGTAGCAACTCATTCCTGTGCCCTGCTCTAACTCATTTTCCTCTGTTCTGGGAAAAGGGAAAAATACCACCGCTGTGTGGGGGATAGGCCAAGCATGCCCTGGTGACATGAGTGGGTGTGGGCACCATCCTGCTGCTGTGCCTGTGGTCTTTTACCTTAGTGTTGGCTGAGTTTGGGGTATACCAGGGTTTTTTTGGTTGTTAGGGTGGGTTTTTTGTTGTTTTTGTTTTTGTTTGGTTTTGTTTGTTTGTTTTTGGGTTTTTGGTTGTTTGTTTTTTTTTTTTTTTTTTTTTTTTTTACTTTCTACTTTATTGTCTTTATTTTTCCTATATTTTCATGCCAAACATACTTACAGAAGAAGGTAAGATCAGCAGGATGGCAGTAGCTGCCTGGACATTGTTCCCATTCAGAGCCTGACTTATTTGTCAACCTTACAAAGCCTTAACCCTATTTTGGTCATACTTTGTGGATTTTATGATACCTCATTCAGAAATAAAATTGGTCAGTCCAAGACATTAATTTTTTTTTATTGTAGTTTAAATTCACTAGAACAGTGTGAATGTGACCTTTGCATTTCAAGCAGGCTTGTGCAATTCTTGCATTAGTTAAAGAATGAGTGGTACAGACTGAGCAGGGGACTGTAACAGGCATACTACAGTGGGAGGTATGTGAGTAAAACACCCCTTCTTTAGGCAAAAGCCTTCTAAAACATTGTCATAATTATTCCTGCCTAGCATGCTTTAAGGCAGAGCAGTGAAGGAATACTTCTCTGAGATTGTATCCTCCTTGTTTAGCTCTGGTATTGTTCATGAGAATTTCACTGCACTTACTGAACCAGCTGATATTTTTGGTCATTTTGACACTACAAATAAAGCCAAACCTATGTTCTTCTGTGACATGAGAGCTCTATTTTCTGTGGGACTATGCAAATGAGCAATTTGCAATGTTTATGGCTGGTACCATATGTGTATCAATACCCTCAGTATGTTGGTGACAGCTCATGCATATGAAAATGATTGACAAACCAAAGTGGCAACATTGAGAGCTTGGTGGCTCCAGGATGGAGCTATGTATGTGCTATCATCAGATCTGGAATGAACCTTGCTGATATCTGATGGAGTAGGAGGTATTTCTGCATTCACAGGTCTTGCATTCAGCAATGGTTTATATGCATTTCGGCTCCCACAGATGCTACTCAGGTGGGGACTGAGGACAGTTAGTTCAGAACAAGGCTCCTACCTTTGCCAGGTCCCAGTGGCTCTTCCGCGGGACTTTTCCTTGTTGGTTGCATGTGACAAATCAGCACAGGACCTGGGCCTAACCATGTCCTTGTTTGCTGTCTGGCTCTCACCAACCTATCTAGTATCCTTTCTCTACACTTCATTCTTTTCTATTATATCACATCATGTATCAAACTTGATGGGAGCTCACATTGTACTGGATTTACCTGTAAAGGGAGCAGGTGCTGTATGACAGGGAGCTGTAACATCTCAGCCTCAACAAGCTTCCTCTGAGGAAGTTAGGCTTAAGGTGACTTTTCTTAGATGAAGACATTGCTCCAAAAACAGTGACCTCGTGTGATGCTTTTACAGAACCTCATTACAATAATTCACATCTACTCAATTACTGCTGCTGATAAAGGATTCTTATAAATGTTGAAACTGTGCTGTGTAAATGGGACTGAACTTTGGATGGGAAGCAATAGTGGTGAAGCCTAAATCACCCTCCAGCAGGCAGAAAGGGGCTGTAAGGAACATCACAGGGCACTTGTTCTGGCTCTCCGATCTTGTGCAGGATCACATGTCCCTTTTACCATTTCTGACAAATTGCAAAACCTAAGCAAAAACCCTAAAGCAGAAGAACTAACAAAGAATAAGTAAAGATTTTAAAGTGCTGTGGAGGAAACGTAAAATTAGGGTATGTGTATAAAGTGATTGCTCACCGCAAGGCACCCTGAGAAGGTGGAGGGAGGAAAGGGAGGAAAGGAAGCCCGTCAGTTACCTCCACAGTGTTGATGGAACTTCTTCTTGATTTTTGCTTCTGTCAAATCTCTTTTTATACCTCTTTCTTTAGGCAATTTTTGAGTGGCTGTAGCCAATAAACTTATTTTGGGATCATAGACAGATGAAATAGGCCTAAGGATCCACTTCCCAAGTTCCTGGAAGCCAGGTTGTTTGGGGGGGGGGAGGGAGACGGAGAAAGCCATGTTATCTCCATATCACTCTTTCTTTGTTTTAATCCTTTTACCAGTTTCTGGGGAACCATCAGGAGCCTTATCTATCACCTCACACAGATGTTTACCAAAAACTCTTGGAAGTCTATGAAAGGTAAAACATATTCAATACCATAACTCACTGTTAAGATTTCTAGTTCAGGGAATGCCATTGCTGATACATCAAACAGTCTTATCTGTGTAAGGTTTCTTGATCCTGTCCATTTTGATAGGGCAAATATTCCTAGAATAATTGTACTTGAGATTAGTAGTTTAGAGAATTCTGTGTTATCCTCTGTCTGCTGATGAAACTCACTGCCTTGAAGCATTTAGATCTGCTAGTTCATTGGTAGCTCTGCATTAATCAGTAGACTTATTTTTCTCTGCTTTAAAATCACAGAATATATGTCATGCAATTCATAGAGGTGCAGTTCTAAACAGGGGGGACCCCTGGTGGTCTAGTGGTTAGGATGCGGCACTCTCACCACTGTGGCCCGGGTTCGATTCCCGGTCAGGGACACTCCCCCGGGCAGATGGAGCTCGTCAGCCCTGTAAAGCCATCCATCTATGAGAAGGTCACTCTAAACAAACCTACGTCCTGAGGACCTCACTGCCATTGT